TTCTAGGCGCTGTTGCTCTTTCCTTTGTTTATTAGAGAGCTAAAAGGGGGGGACAAGAAAACTTTATTATTTTTGTTCTTTTCATCCAGGATTATTGTAGTTAACTAAAAGTAAAACCATGAAAAAATTACTTGAAATAAAATAAACTTGAACTGAGCTTTTCATTTAGTTTAACCTGATGTACTAAAATAATTCAAACTAAAACTGAAATAAAGATCAATAGAAACTATATAGACATTTAAAAAAAAAAAAGATTTTAAAAAACTAATAAAAATGACAAAAACAACAATCACTAAGACTTTAAAATTAAAATAGAACCAAAAAAAATAAAACTATATCTAAATTAGTTAGATTTTTTTATTGTTATGTTTTAGTTTAGTTATTTTCCATTTAATTTTGTTAATTATTTTAAACTAAAATTATAAATTTGGCCTTGGAAACGAACTAAAATAAAATTAGATTTTGTTTTTTATATATATATTTTGTCAGTTTTCATTTATTTTATTTCAATTAATTAAATTTTTTTTTAACTTTATTTCAGCTAGTTGGCAAAGCAATATTTCTCATTTTCATTTAGTTTGATGTGCTAAAATAACTAAAACTGAAATAAAATGTAATAAAAACTATAGACTTTTTTTTTTAAGATATCTAATAAAAACTAATTAAAATGACAAAAACACTACTAAATTACTAAAACTTTAATTTAATTAATTATTCAAATAAAAACAGAAAATATAGAAACGAATTCAAAATATTAATAAAAACTCTAATATTTTCCCAATGATACTAAAATAACACCGTTGTCACCTTGGGTTTATGTGAGATGCTGCCCTCTGTTGGCGATGTGTTTTCACTACATTCTGCCTGCATGCCTTGACATAAAGGGTGTGTCCCTGAGGCACAATCTCTCTGTGATGATAGGTTGTTTAGTTCAGACTCCAGCCAATCACTGTGGCATGTCTGTGATGTGGCCCTTGATTGACACAGATTGTCTGATTGACCTGCGGACACAAAACAGTGGTGAGAAGAGCATATTGAGAGCGAAGAGAAATCGATTTACAGTGATTTAAATATTGACTGACTATGGGCACAGAGAATGCTCAAGATCAGCTCTTCATCTTCAGAGTGAGAGCCTCTCGACTTTTCCTTCTGACCGTCTCCAAAGCGTCTGCAATTATTCAGACTCTTTCCAAAGAAAAAAAGAAGACATTTACCTTCAGAAAATGTCAGACTGTGGTTCATGTATGTGACTGATGTTTGTTTAGCCGACAGACCTCTATACGCAGATGAGCCGGACTCTCAGAGTTGTCTCCAGTCTTTCGGACGCTGTCATAATGGTCTCCATAGCGATATGCCATGTGTAGCTCACGGCATGAAGGCTTCTCTGTACCATTTATCTGCATGTAAAAAAATGTATTAAGCCATTAATAGAAACACACATTAGAATGACATGAATCAAAGACATAAATGCTCCATCACCTCCCACAATGGAGCGTTCAGCTGATGAATAACCACTTTCAATTGCTGGCTGCGAGCGAAGGCCACGATGGCGTCGTTACCGGCAAACGTACCCGGCTGTGACAGGTTTGACACTGAAAAAGAAAAATGACAAAGATTTCTTCAAAGACATGAGCTTTCCTGCAGAAAGACACTAGAATAGCTGGATAACAGCACTCATTATATATATATATATATAATATATACACACACACACACACACATATATATATATATATAT